AAGACAAACTTAGTCAATTAGCTAATAGCTAGCTACCATTATTGATTAATTAAATAAAGGTTTGTATTTACTAACTAGGAGTCCGTTTTAAAAATTCAACCTAATAATATAACTTACTTAAATATATTTATTAGATTTATTTAAGTGAGAAAATAGAACTATGTATAAAGTAGAATCAGGCATTAATAATGTAAAGAATAAATGGAGAATAAAAAAAGAGATGGATCCAGGAACACTTAATGTGGTGGGTCTAGAGTGTCAAGCATTAAATACCCTATTGATTAACTTTGCATGGAGACTGGAATAAGTTAGGTAATCTAATCATCATGTCTTGCTTAATGAAATAGGCTCTAAACCATCTTATCTTGGCCAAGTATCTTTATAACATGTAGCCTAACTGTAGTTCAACTAAGTGATAATATAATAAAGCACCCTCCACCCCCAACGTCTCATATTTCAATAACAAACAACACATAAAGGAAAAAGAAAAAACCTTTTAAAATACAAGCAAGCTGTAATGGTTTCTATCCAATCCTTTACAGTAAGTTTTTAAGATAACTCATATGGACATTTAACACTTTTAAAATTACACAGGTCAAAGTGAAAGATGGATATGGTCAATGTACAATGTCAAATGAATGAAACATTTTCTTTTTGAAAGCTTTTTATTCTGCTGGAGATTCTTCTCTTTCTTCTTCTTTGTCCGATTTAGCTGGTGATCTTGTCTTTGATCTGCTTCTGGAACTTTTTATGAGTAAGAAAAAAAAAATTATATTGTGAATTTAAACAACTGGAACTAAAATTTTTTACATTAAGAAAAATTAAGAAATCTCACCCATTTTCTTTCTTTCTGTCATAAGACCCAGAGTGACTTCTGGAACGACTGTATGTTCTGTAAAGAAAAATGCACATACATAATGTAAACATACATCTCCTGCTTTTTCTAAGGCAATAAAAAAAAATGCTTTAGCAAAATTTAATTTGTTGCCAACCTGTCTCTCTTAGGTGTTCTGCTTCTGGTACGACTTCGCCTGAAAAATAAAAGTTACAGTATTAGAATACTAAAAACAAAAACTGAACAATGTATTAGTACCACTATTAATAATACCCGTAATCAAAATTATGCTCTTACCTGCTACTTCTGTAAGGACTCCTAGAACGAGATCTATTTCTGTAATTTAAAAAAATGTCAGCTATTTAGTATAATTACATTTTTTAAGATCAAGTCATGTTAATTCAAGGCTAAAAAACGACAATAAATTAGATATTTATGAATTACAATATAATGATGGTCAACAATCATTAGTACAAAAGGTTTTTAAAGGGAACCTGATAGTTTTTCAAATATAAGTTATTGACAAATTTAACTTCTGCAAGTTGTAATAGTAAACAGTATGCCATTAATTATTTAGATCCTTAGAAACATTTGCATTTAATAAATTAATAAATTCTTATCTCAAAAAAAAATATTTTTTTTTTAATTATGAGAATCTGATGTTAGGGATTGCCTTTGTCAGTACCCTCAACAACACTGAATGCCTTGGTTCATTCTTTTAGTGGCTATTTGGCCTAGTCCATAGGCTATCATAGTCCGATTTAGATATAAAAGCATTAGCTTAATAATGCCATAATAACCAACATTGGGAAAAAAGGAATATTTATCCACACCCTTCCTTGCCCAAAAAAGTAAATAGACAGTAAGTCCAACTGATTCTAACAAACTTGTCAGTGTAGGCCTAGCCTACCTGGCCAAGACAACAAGGCCAATGTTTGTTGTATTGGTAAGCTAACAAACCCTTTTCAGGTAAAAACAGGTGTAAGACAAGGACGTATGCCTTTGCCCTTGATACTTTTGTCAGTGATTGATTGGGTCATGAGACAGACAGTTTTAGACAATAAAAGCAACATAAAATGGACCCTAACATAACAAACAAACAAAAAAATCGCTGATGACATCTATCTGCCTTCCCTGGCATATGCAACAAAATACTCAGACCAAACTGACCAGACTCTCAGAAGTAACAAAAAAAAACAAAAAAACTGGACTTCTGTAAGTATAGACTATGGAACTGATAAAGCTAGTTTGTATTTCTACTCTTCAAGCAATCTGGGCACCGTCTTGACAAAAAAAAGATAAAAGTCATAACAGAAAAGTTAGGTTGGTCCTTCAGCATGGTTCAGTCGTGACGAAAACAAATATGGAAAAAACCCAGATCTTTAACAGATGCCTAGGCTGGGTTCTGGGAATTAGTTGGCCAGAAAAGATCACTGTCAACTTGCTGGAAATAACCATGCAAAATCCTTGGAAGTTCACAGGATTAAGCCAATAAGTCATAAACCGTTCCATTATTTCACCAGTTATGACTGTAGAACAGTGCCTATGAAACTCAAACCTCAAGCAAAAAAATTAATAAATAAATATAATTTAACAACAAGCTTTACTTCACACACCAATTAACAGAATTATCTAATTACTTCACCTGAAGTAATTGTCTTAACTATTTACAAATCTGAAATGTTGAATATTTTGTTACAGTCACAAAATATAATTTACATTTTAAAATAGATAAAGCAGCATGTGAGAACTGAAATATTAAAATAAATGAAGAAATAAAATAACATCTTATGAAATACTTTCTCTAAATAACAATAGTATTGTTTGCACAAAATATTACTTTTGTAGCGGATGTGATTTTGAATAAAATAATAAAAGCCAGCAGGTACGACTTCAAAAGTTGCCTCACAACTCACCTGCTAGAGTAAGGGCTGCGAGAATGAGATCTGTACCTGAAACATATGGTTAATGTAAAGTGATTTACCCAACTCGTCAATTTGAATATCCTGTTGTTGTACTAGACTTCTACTAATACTCTTTTTTTTCCCCACAAAAAAAAAAAAGAGAGAGGAAGAAACAGCATTAAAACTTTAGAATGTCATATGTACCTAGGGCTACGGCTTCGTGATCGATTCCGCCTACGGTCATAGTCATCATATCTTGAGTATGGTGATCTTCTGGACCTTTCTTTTCCTCTCATTTGGCCAGGTGCTGCAAAGACCATAATGCTCAAAATATAGCAAAGTACAAAAGAAAAGAAAAACTTTCAGCATTAGTTAAAAATATTGATGATGAATCATTCCTCGAGAAATACTTAGCATTCATTGTAAAATATGTAAAGCTTAAAAATCCTCTTTTCCTGATACGTAAACTTGATAATACAAATACAAATGACAAAACACTTTCACACTACTTACACTTTCTATCCCCTCTGGCAAATTCAATCTCCAATTCTCTGCCATAAAATCGTGTACGGTCCAAATGATATAATGCATCATCAGCATCTCGAGGATCTTCAAACGTATGGTTGTTAAGGCATGTTAATTGATTTACTAATATTGAATAATACCATGGTAATAAAATATCTCACAATGTTTTTCAAACTAAATAAAAAATCTACACTTGATCATTGGATATAAAAAAATATAAACATTCCATAAAGACCTTGCCTAATTGCAGGTGTCAAACATGAATTTACATATATGAATGTGAAGACTCCAACTTCACACAAGAGGATGGACTTTGAAAGTTACTATGATGGAGATCTGTTGTTTTTTTTAGGCCCAGTAACCCACAAAATTGCATTCCATATTGTATTCTAATAACTGAGTTATTGTGTCTTTAGAACTACTTTATTTTGTTTTAAATAAAATAGTCAATTTGAAACAAAAGTAAATAATCACAAAAATAAAAAATGGGGTTTGCGGGGGGGGGGGGGGTAAAAATAGATTTCAAAAAGCATCTAATAGAGAATAAACATTCAAAATTCTTCTTTAAAATAAAAGAAAAATAGATAAAATAAAATTACATATTTGTTTTGTCAAAATGAGCTGTTACATTCTTTAAATAATACAGAATAATCCATCCATAGTCACATCTCCACAAAAAATAAAAGGGACCATGAAATTTGCACTGTTTATAACTATTGTGATAAGAATCAGGGGAAAAGAAAACAATGTCAAATACATTTTTTTTTAATGAAAATCAAATTATCACATTTCTGCTGTAGCAAAAACTGATCATTGATCTTAATTCTGAAAATTATGTTTGAAGATTATTTGTTTGAGAATCTAACTACTAGAGACAATTTCATTTACTTTATATGTATAGACAATGTTATTTATTTTTTACTCAAATATGACTCAATGATCATGAAAATATTCTTTGGAAATATTTTTTTTTAAATCTTGTTTATTAATTACAACAATGTAGAGTCTTAGAATTAGAAATATTTAAAAATATAACCAAACCAAGAAGACTAAAACTTTGATGAGATGGGTGCCTGAAATGGCAATAAAAAAATAGAAACCTTGATATGAAAACACTTGAATAGAATAATGCTAATAATGAATCACTTGCAAGCTTGTTATCATTCAAATGATAAATGACTTTTTAAAAAGGAGTGGAAAAAATTATTCTCATAGTGGCAGATGTCTTCTAAGTCATCATTTTATAATAAAGACCATAAGCTTTAAAAAAAAAATAATTCATAAACATGCTTTGTCATTTAACCATCCATATATGGGAATAAACAAAACTCATGTCATGCAGAATTTTTTTTTTCCATTTAAAGATCTGTGCAAATTTGCTGGTAAACAAATTATAAATAAATAAAAGAGTAAAGTTTAGCCCTATACCCAGTAACCATTAGCTTTATCGCAAACTATCTTACTCACAAATCTTAGGATACAAGACTACAAGTTGGCTTGCTTGTCTTGCTTGAAAGCTTGGAAATCTGTTATTCCTAAGGCCTATTACTGTATCTTGTCTACTTGCTTGTAAATATGCAAACTTGCTTGCTTTATTTCTTTACTTTTAAAGACTATTCCCATCCCTTCAATGATCCCGACCACATAACTACTTGTCTGATCTTGTTTGTAAGGACTTTGTCTTGTGGGCTTGATGGGACCAGTTATAAACAATTGTACGACTCTTGCCTTGGGCTTTACTTTGAAACCACTTGGCATTCTGATAAAAAACAAGAAAAATTTGTAAGTATTTTTTTTTATCAATACCACTAGCTTATAGACCCCGTAATCAACGCTATAACTGCTGACAAGTAGAACTTGAATGTCATTAGGAGAGTGAACAACATTTATAATGTATTCATTTTTTTTTCTTTTGTGTACTAGTTCATTATTAAAAAATACTAATATTTTAGTTATATATATATAATATTGTTAGTGTGCACTTTAAATAACTAAATAAGTAACAAGGATATTGCACATAGGCAAATCCACGAGGACGCCTGGTATAATAATCCAAAGGAACATAAACATCTGTGATGGGTCCATACTTTCCAAACATGGCTCTCAACTCTTCTGGGCTAAAATATATAAAATTATAGTATAAAAAAAAAAGTGCAGCATTTATTTACATTGATGGTCCAAATGTGTATTTGGCACCAGAATGCATAGAACTTGTGTGATAGACAATCTTATACAGCGTGAAGCTAAATACAATTTAACATCGACAAGCAAACAAGATGATAAAAACAAATACTAAATCTATATCATATTATGAAATCCATATGATGAAGGCAATCATGCTTTTATGAAATTATTAGTATGAGTTACAATCCTGTTCATTTACTTAAATGTTTATGAATGAAACAGAACTAATCGTTGGTACTAAAAATGCTTACCACTGCTGAGTTCTTTAACATTTTAACCACAAAAAATTAGTTAAGGCCAAAGTTTAATTACAAAAAAAAAAAAGTTAGTTAAAATCCTAGTTTAATTTTTTTTTTAGTTACAAACTAAAAAGTTTAATTACAAAGTTTACAAACTTTTTTACCATACATACATTAGAGCTATGTAATTTGGAGAATATATAAATGAATAATTATAAATATTATAAATATAATTATTTGATCTAGGTCTAGTAGCTAGATCTAATTCTTGATCCAGATTATATTTCTGATCATTTCAGTTGTAGAAGATATTAGATCCAGAATATTCTAGAAACTAGAGTTAGAGAGTCAGCATGCAGTTTTATCATTACTTCTAAAGTTAACTTATATTAGAACTTGGACAATTACTTCTAATTTCTTTCTATAATAGTATCATTATAGTGATTCTATAAAGATCTACATCTATCCCATAAAGACATTTAAATCTTTTTTCATGTGCACAAATAAATGTTTATTACATTTTGCTAATGAGATTGGTTGTGCTTTATATTTTTCATGTTTGGCTGTTTCGTCCTTAAAAAAGGTCAAAATAGTTAGTAAAAGTTTAACTAAAGTTTCTTAGTTTAGTTTAACTAGTTTTTTCAATTTGTGATTAGCTAAAAGTTTAATTACTTTTTTTTGGTTCAAACTTAGTTTTAGTTTAACTACAAAAATTTAGTTTAGTTCCCATCACTAACCATGTGACAAGTGAAGTTAGAAAGTTAAGAAAGTATATACAGGGTGCGTCAAAAAATTTATACACACTTTGAACTATCATAGACAATTTATTTCCTGTTCAACAATGCTAAATTTCCGCACATGGAAAGCGTAATGTCTAATTGGAAAAATAAATGTGAATAATGTTCAAACTGGTGGCCTTCAGCATCAATACATTACCGAGTACGAGTCAATATTGACAGTTCAAAGTGTGTATACATTTTTATGACGCACCCTGTATACATATATATATATAATATAGGGAGGTGAAATAAAAAATTGATCTTTGAAAAAACAATTTTTCGTTAGTACATCGCTAAAATAATTTGAAAGATCTTTCCAATGGTGCATAAATTATTATTGTATGTTTAACAGTTAGAAAGTTATGAATATTTTTTTTGGCGTTTTGACCTAACATTGGTTGACAACGCACAAGTAAGATAAGAGCGTCTCGCTGGCTAAGCCAGAAGAGACACACCTCCAGATCAAAAGTTAAAAAGTTAGAATTGAGTTTCCTGGAAAATAGATCTACTTATAAAAAAATGAAAATTAATAGTAGATCTAGTATTAGTAGTAAATTTCTAGCTCACAAATCTGATTTCATTTATATTTATGAACTTCACTAAAATTCACTTGTTTAGAATGTAAATATAGATGAAATAAACAAATTACAAAAAAGTAAATTCTCGGGTCTAGAGCTACAAGAAATGTCAGAGGGGTGTGGACAAAATGGCGGTGTTGTGAAGGCAGAAAATAAAATATTTAAAAAGTGGGATAAAAATAATCTAAAACATTTTTTTTTTCAAATGCGCTTTAAAATTCATGTGCCTACGGTTATTACAAAAAAAACTATTTGAATATATCTAGGCCTTACATGGCCTCAAGTGGTTTTACGTCTATGACGAAATTTCCTTATCAAAAACTCATAAAAAACTGTAAATCCAATAGCCCACAATGCTAACTGTATTTTCAAGTTTTTGAGTGATGTGACGGAGATATCGCGATAAAACTTAGTAGAATTATAGCCAGACATGATATCAAGTGTAAAAAATAAAATGAGTCATGGGGCATTCTCCTGGACCCTGTTTTGCTCAAAACAAAAAAGGAGTATTTTTTATAATAAATTTTAAAAATTATAAATAACTTTAAAAAAAAACATAATTAAGCCATGAATGAATGCCATGTCAGATGAACGTATTTTCTCACTTAAAATATTATTTCATAATGTTAATTAAAAAAATAACATTAAAAAATCACAGGAATATTAATTTTAATGTATCTTAAAATATAAATTTAAAAGCTAAATAATAATTAGATCTATATAGATTAAAAAAATAATTCAAAGTGACTATGTAAGACAAGACAACCAAAAGTGGGACAAACAAATAAGTAAAATACAAAGAAGAGGTCAAAATAATTAACTAAAAAATTTATAACTTTTGAACTAATTAGTCTAATTATTAAATTTTCAAAATTCTTTTTGTTTCATTTATATCTCAAATTATCCTTCTAGCTATAGTGGTTTCATTGCATATAAGTAAATAACTATTTTATCACTGAACGCCCTATATTAACTAGATCTAGTCTATCTAATCTAGATCTATCTACTATCAACTAGATCTAGATCTATGATAGTATGAACTAATAAAGTAATAACTCAATCTCAAGATTAGTCTAGATCTACTATGAATGATAACAAAGTACAAATACCGTGTGCCATCTGGAACATTTCTGACATAGAGAGAAGAATTCGGTGGTCTGGAGTAACGGGACATTCTCATCAATTAAAAAAAAAGATTAAAGCACAAGTTTTGAGGAACAGAAATCTTTTCAATATGGCGTCGTCGTCAATGCACAGCAATTATCAAATAAGCCAGGCCAGTGGACTTGTGTGTATCTAGCCAGTTTTTGTTTTTATAAATACCCAGAATTAAGATCTAGGTATTAAGGGATGCGAATAATAGGCCTATTCATAATTCATACACACGCAATCACTAGACAATTTTAGATCTACTTGTATTAGATCTAGATCTAGTCCAAAATCTTAAAAGTAACATATATTTTAGTGCACACATAGTAATATAGATCTTTAATATTATTAGTCTTAACAGTTTTATTTCAGCATTTATCATTTTAGGGACTTGGGACAAGGGTGGTGAATTCCACCATGAAACAATTAAGACTTAAAAGTAGGATGTTACAGACATTTGGCCCATATCAATTTGAAAACATGTTTTTTTTAAAATCTGAAATAGCTGTAATTCAGTGATAGGACGACTATTTTTAATCTCATAGAGAAAATGTAACGAAATAAAAACCTGGAGGGGGGGCAAGGCCGGCCTTGGATAATTGGAGGCCCTAAGCAAAGTGAATTTATTTGGTGGCTCCCAAATGATGATCGAACTTAAAAAAAAATACCTGTGGCATTTTACGTCTTGAGAGACGATCTTTTCCCTTTGCAGCTTCTTGTGTGGCTTAAGAGGCCAATCCTTGATACACAGCTGCGGTCATAGGTTGGGCTTATGTAATCACAAGGCACCGTTGCATTGTCACCCTTCTTTCTACTATTGTTGTGTATGGCATCTGCAATCCGAGATCTTTCCTTTATGTTCTCTCTTCATTTGGATCTATCCAGTGCTAGTGTCGATTTTGAAGAGCTTCATGTCGCCTTTGCTTACATCCGTATACCTTAAAAGTGGGCGATCAGCGGCTCTCCTATACCTTCTGTTAGATCGCCATAGAATGTTTTGTGGAAGTCGACCTACTGGCATTTACTGACGTGGCCAAGCCAGCCAAGGCGTCTGCTGCTGATAACACATAGGATGTCCTGGCACCCTGCTCTTCGTAGCACTTCCTCATTGGTTATTTTATCTTGCCACCTTATTTTAAAGATGGGCCGCCTTAGGCATCGGAGGTGGAAGACATTCAGCTTTTTTTTCTGTCATGAGTAGGTTGACCATGTTTCACGTCCGTGTAGCAAAGTGTTCATCACACAGGTCCGGACGTAGGCTAAGACTTTAGTATTGTTAGTAAGCAATATGTTGTCCACACTCTTTTCTGCAACAAATAAAATCGACAAATAACTGAAACTCGTATATCGCAATTTCCGTTCCAGAGGTAGAGCTAGGCTGGTAAACACAGAGTCGAAGTGCTCTACTATGTTTGAGATCTGATCTAAGCTTCAAAATTTTTCTCAAATTTTTATTTTACTTTATATGCGAGCCGCCTCCCCCCCCCCCCACCACCACCACCAATAGGGGCCCTAGTTTGACTATGCCTAAGGCCGGCCCTGCTGTGTGTGTGTTTGAGGGGGGGCATTAGCTAATGCCAAAAAAAAAAATTAGGATCACTTTTATAGCGTTGTATAGTTTCTATACAAGCATCACGAACTCCTTATTTTTCTCACGGTTGACTTCCAAAGAGTTTCTAGTGTTTTGGGTATAGCCGCAGGCAACATATAGGTATCCTGCTAGACTAGAATATCTGGTTGCATGGTATATCTTATATATTATAGACGTTTTTAAATGATACATTTTCAAATTGATATATCTTAAGTATAGAAACACTCATTAGGACATAACCATCTTCTTTTTTGAAGTAATGTATGTATTATATAAGATAAGATGAGATAAGATAGCTCTATTAATGAACTTCTAAGATAATTACCTACTGATAGAAAATATAAGTAAGTCTTGCTTGGGGCATTTGATTATTAAGAAAGATATTTTTTTTGTTTTTATTTTATTTATTTTTAAATTTAATTAAAAACAAAATTATGGCAATGTCTTTGATTCCGAGTGTAGTGTGTTACATGACTACGCAAATCCAGTTGCGACCTGCATATTTTCCCACATTT